GGAGGTCATGCGTCTCCACTCGCAAACAGTTTTGGGTGACTAACGTAGTTCGTCGACCGCGAAATATTAAAGTCACCAACTGACATCTAACCTTAAATACTTGTCCAATTGGAGCTAACATTGGACTAAATCTGGAACTTTGTGCAACAAAAATGAATTAACATAACAGGGGGGATTCAGTGGACAAAGAACTTTATTGTCAACACATTCATTTTTGTCGATTATAAAAGTAAATTCACCTTTGAAAGTGGAACACAAATTCTAAAATCCACAAACATTTGCAGTTACATACTGTTTTTATCAGAGCACATTGAGTTTCTCATGATAAAACCAATGAGCATATACTACAGGCAAAGGTAAAAGAAAGCGTTAGTGGAAATGCGTAAGTAAGAAATATAAATAAAGTACATGAATTATTAATTTTGAGCTATTAATTAATCAATTGTTTAAATTCGCTATTCCTCTATTTAGATTGACTGATGATCGAACGTACTGACATTTTATTTTTGATTATCTTCACAGAATTTATGGTATTCTGTCCTTGGTGGATAAATTTTTCAACATTGAATTGACTGATAGCAGTGCCACGGATTCTGATAAACAATCACGAAGGGTGAGTTGAATAAATAAATGATTTTTGGAATTTTTCATTCTTTGAACATTTTACAAATTTGTTGTCGTCTTCCTGGACTTGTCACATATATAAGTAAATGAAGAATTCTTCCAGAAAATTCTATAGCAAAAGTCAAAAGGCTCTCTTTTGCTCATGAAACTCTTTACTGCATGTATTTTCTGACCTATTCCCCCGAAACTCAATACACCCCACCCTCAAGGACAATGAATAATCATTGAAAATTTATTCTAAAAGGTTCAATCATCTGTGAAGAGCTGTTTCTATCCATGGTTCTGTAGTCCAATACGTCCAGCTCCCTAACAACGAGGTTTTTACCCAGCTCCACCAGGAGACTTAACGCAAAGAGGCAGTAGTGCAGACTCGATTGGAATCCCTGGTATTCCACTACCTCTAATTTATACTCCAAAAAACAACTGAACAAAATGATGAATCAATAAATAGAACATTCACTGGATAAATCCGGATACAAATAGACGTAAAATAATTGACAAATGTGAGGAGTGTTCAATTTTCTTCATTCATTTGGAATAATTCATGTGAAGTAGGTATATTTGTAGTTCTTTGCTCATGAAAAAAAATGTTTTAGTACGTCGTTCGCTATTTAGATCCTTTTTTCCATTTTAAAGATAATTGTTCTGTAGAAAAGAGAGCATTAAGAAATACCTTTTGTTCAATCCAGGATTATTTCATGAAGGAGTGGATTTACGAGTAAATGCCTCGATACTTTTTTGTTAGAGAAACAAGTTTTCTACACAACATGTCTTGTGACATTTCCTCTTATACCAAACCCTCATCGTGATAATCCGTGAACCACAATTCTTCATTGTTTTTCGTAAATTTTGAAATGATGTCCATAATAACTGGTTGCACGATAAAAAATGTTGAACATTCTTGTGTAACTAAAAGAATTACCTCCCAAAAAAGACTTATAACGTCTTGGAGTGAAGCAACTGATTATTGAGAAGATTGAACATTTAACTCTTCAGAATCATTGGCTAAATATCATTAAAATAAAAAGTGATGAAATATGTCAATAGATATTAATAAAAAAAAACGAATCGTGGTGATTCATTCTCCATTATCCTCCGGGTAAATCAAATATCAGTGATTGCTTATTCTCCTTTTGAAATTATGTTATTCTCAATTCAATTTCTCTCCTTACATGAATTATTTAACTACAGTTTGTCGTCTATTTTTTCGTTAAAATTTCTGTGAATTATTTTCGGTTATGGTGCTCTTTTTGCTCAGAATTGAGACGAGTATTACGTGCACGTTTCTTCGAAACGACTTTTCTTGTTGTGTATGTTGCTTTGTTCGCTAATTGGAATATAATTAAAACAATTAAAGCCTCACAGGCAAGGGGTGTTGAGGGGCTACAGACTGTTTCTACCCTCAAGAAACATCGAAATAAAAGAACGAAAAAAATAGCTTTAAAGAAACATGGATACAATATTTGTGGCAATTCAGCGTAGAGAAAAGGACCATTAGCAAGTTCCTTCTTCGGCACGTAGTAATTATTTATAATATTATTAGCAATAAATTAATTTGTTCTTTTTATTTATTAATTCTCATTCAAGCGTCAAAACTTCTATGGAGTTTCAATAGTTCATACAGCTTAATTACATGATTAGATAATTGTTAGGGGTCGGCCGGTGAATGTCAGAAATTCAACTCTTTTATTCGATACACCTAATGGTGTTTCAAGATATATCAAAGATTCTTTCTTTTTTTTGCTTTTCCTCATTTCGCAAATTTTTTATCATTAAATGTTAGAAATTTTTGGGGAAATTGAACTTTCCACAGAAAATATCCATTGATCAAATCATTATTTTTTCTGAGATAATTTTCTGGAGTATTTGAAGCCCTGGGCCACAGATTAAAATTGACCCAAAATTAAAAATACAAAATTCTTCCTCATCTGTTAGTGAAGAATCTTCCCTTCCTAGAATAAATGGATGATTAAATTTGTTCTTCATAATTTTTCGAAACGCTTTTGACAATTATAACTCATGAATAACGGCAGAATTGTTCAAGGAGAAAGTACGTTGATCATTCAACTATTTTATGATTTATTCATTCGTATTCAGAGTGGTGAAACGTACGCAGATAACTTGATCGTTCTTTCCATCGTTGAGTCAACTCCATGAGGTTGAATGTCAAAGATTTTTTTTT